AAAAAAAAAAAAAAAAAAAAAAAAGTGCAGAAGCGACCGGGCTTTGGATTGGTTGGGTGGGTGAGGGGACGGCAGAGCTGAACCTAACTTCTGGCTGCTTAGCTTGGCTGTGTGGGACAGTGATGGCCCTGAAAGGGAAAACTCTAAGGAAGACAGTTTTAGGGGAAGAATAGTAACTTTGATATACAGTGGGTTGGAAGTGACCATGGAGATGTGACAGCCAATGGCACTGATCAGCAGGCCGTGAGAAACATGGGCCCAGGACTGAGGGAGGGAGGCTGGGCTGGAAGACATAGGATGGGACACAAGAAGCTCTGAGTGGAGGTATGAAGTGACTGTGTCCTGCTCAGCAAAGGTTGCTCAAGGCGGTGAGCATCTGGCTCAGACTGGAGTCTGTTTGAGCAGGCTGGGGCCTCGGCTTATTCACTGACCATGTGCGTTCTGCTCAGTCAGCTCGGCTACTTGGATTCCACCTTTGTCCTCTACTTTATGCACGTTCAGTTCAAATGCTGACCTGGGCCAGTCCTGCCTACCTTGTGAGCTGTGGTGGCGGCAAAGTCCACCGGGGTACAAACCAACACGCTGATACGTGGCTTTGTATTTGATGAAATGGAGACACCCAATACGAGCAACAGAGTAGGTAGCCGGCAGAGTAGAGAGGGTGCACATGGACCCCCTTCCTGATTCATTCAGAAGGCCTATCAGACTCCAGGTTCCATGTGGGCAGTGGCTCCCCAGATTCCCAGGACAGTGTTCCCCAACCTGTCTTACCCTCTCACATACTCCTGCCTATGGAACCATTGTATGTTTTTTTAGGATTCTTTGGTCCTTAATAGGGGCTTATAGATTACTACATAAATTAATTTTCATCAACATTTCTTCCATCTTCTTTTTTCTTTTCTCTTTTCTTGAATCCTTCCCCTTCCTTCCTTCCTTTTTTTTTTTTTTTTTTTTTTTTTGAGAGAGAGAAAGTCTCACTGTGTAGTTCTGGCTGGTTTTGGACCTGCTGTGTAGACCAGGCTGTCCTCAGACTCACAGAAATCCATCTGGCCCTGTCTCCCAAGTATTGTGATTAAAGGGTCAGGCCACTATGCCCAGCATATTGTTTCTTCAATACACTTAGTACTGCCAGGATCTTCTGGCCCAGGCTCTTAGCCAGGGGTGGAGATCCAGACAGAAGGGCCAGGCTCTATCTGGAAAAGCTTCGGTTAAAATGCCCGAAATGTGAGAAGATTTCAGGCAGGGTTGTGTTAGATCTGAAAACACACCAGGTAGAGGCACTTCATTCCACTCGGGCATGCAGCTGACCCTTCCCCCCACCAGAGACATTCTCTCAAAACATGCACATGCATAAATTATTTACCTCTCCATCCTCCAGCACGCCAAGCACGGAAAAAGAAAAACAGAGTAAAGTGAGTGTAAGCTTGGTGAAGGAAGGGCCCAGGTGGTTAAACAAGACTTCTGGTTATTGTCATTAGTGTTCAGAAGGGTTCCAACCTGGTGTGGTATTAAACAGACAGACTGCATGCACGAGTGTCTGCATAAAAGCCTATTAAGACAACCAGGCACCCAGACAAAGGCGCCAGCCACTGTGGGTGCTGGGAAAAATTCCCTGTTTAGTTGGCTATCCACCAGACACCTGCTGTTGATTTGTTTCATGTTGCGCAGTGCCATGGAGAAAACCAATGGAATGCAAATGTTACCATTAACTGTGTTCAGGTCACAGCAGCTAGGTTGCCCTGTACAAGTCCCTTGTGACAAATTAAGTTGGTAATCCAGTGGGGGCAGATGGTTTTTATGGTGTTTTCTTCTAGATGAATTTTGCATTGTGTGCTTTACAAGAAAAAAAAAGACTTGAGGTGTTTCCTGTTGCCTCTGGCTCCTTATCTTCCTAACTGAGAATGATTTTGATCTGGGATTGTGAGGTTGGTAACTGTTACTGAGCTGCTGGCTCACATACCTTTTCAGGGCTCAGATACTCTTCATTTACTGCAGTGACACCTAGTGGTCAGAGAAGGTAATGCCGTGTTTGCATTTAAAAGCCCCTGGCTTTGTCCTGGGTATTAATAAAAAAAAAAGTATATATATAAAATGGACAAGTTATTATATTTATTAACCCATGAAAATAACATTCTTGATAAGATCCATATTAATTGACTTACTGTATTTTCAGGTGGTATTTATGATGTCATTCATAATTAACTGCCTATCCTGTTTTACAGCTTGATTATGTTGCGTTTTTTAAAACAACCACTATGCTTTTGCATTTATCTGAAAGTTGTTTTCTCTGCTTTTGTTGTTTTCTTGAGGCTATATATGAGGATGACCTTGAAGTTTTGGTCTTTTTGGCTTTATCTCCCAAGTACTGAGATTACAGGGATGTGCCACCATACTCAGCTCTGAATGCAGTATCTTGAAGCTCTATGTATGCATTGTCTAGAAGGTTTCCATACAAAGGGAAAAATGATTAGGACTGCACTCAAATTTTCACTGCCAGTATCTCTTGCCCTCATTGGTGGCAAACTGTTATGGGAAGGGTATAGCTTACTATATATGGTAAGGGTGCTTAGTACCCGAGGACAATGTGCAATGCATGACGAATGTTAATGCCTTTAATATGTAAAGACCTGTTACCAATCAATAGGAAAATCTAGATATCCCCCAAATTGGCAAAGGGCATATAAAAATGATAAGGAAATGCAAGGGGCAACTGTGCAAACTGCGCAACCTCACTTACAAGCAATGGATTAGAATTAAAGCAATGCAAGCGCATTTTCAGCTCTTGCATTCACAATGACGTGAGAAACGACAGGTGATGTCAGTGATAGCAGCTGGACCACTCTCCCTTATGACTGGTGCAAATGAAGCCTCTAACTTTTTGGAGTGTAACTTTCAGTAAGAGCCTGGGCATGGTGGCACATGCCTTTCATCCCAGCACTTGGGAGGCAGAGGTAGGCGGATCTCTATGACTTTGAGGTCAGCCTGGTCTACAGGACACATAGAGAGACCCCGTCTAAAAACAAAATAAACAAACAAAAAAACCAGGAGAGAGAGAGAGAGAGAGAGAGAGAGAGAGAGAGAGAGAGAGAGAGAGAGAGAGAGACTGTGTGTGTGTGTGTATGTGTGTGTGTGTGTGTGTGCTCACACGCGCCATGTGTAGCTCATGCTTAAACTCCCAGTACCCTGGACCCTGCAGGCTGAGGTAGGAAGCTCTTAACTAGTTTGAAGCCCTTCCTGGGTCATGTGGGAAGATCAAGGCTAGCCCTGGCAAATTAGGGAGATCTTGGCACACACACAAAAACGTAAGGGAAGGGGATGTAGCTCAGTGGTAGTAGAATGCCTATCTAACTCACACATGTCCCTTGGGTTCCATCCTCAATACCTACAAAATAAAATGCTTTAGACTGATTCAGGTCTTGTGACCTGTAAGTCAATTTCTAGGGATATGATGTGAAAAAAACCCAAGAAATTTCATTACATTGTTGTTATACTTAAAGAAGGAGTAATAGTCTCATTATTTAAAAACTGAGAAATTTTAACTATTTCTAACACATTCATATGGTGAAATAATATTTGACAATTAAATACTTAATGGCCTGGAGCTGTATCTGCCATGTGATAAGTGAAAAGAGCAGACTACTAACTTTTATTTACAGTCTAAATGCAATTTCCTAAAATATGGTATATACCAATATGTGAACATACATAGAAGAAAAACTAGTAACTTATAGTCTATGGGAGTTGGCCTAAGAATAATTTATTATTTTCCTAAAATTTCTGCAACAGCATGCACATTACTTTTTTTATTGTGGCCAAACATACATCATGTAAGATCAACCATTTTAACCATGTTTTAATATGTGCATTATTTTTTAAATCAGAAGTTATGTTCATTTTAAGTGGCACTAAGGAGACTCTTCATTTTGTACCTGCACTACAGTGACACCAACGTGGCAGTGGTTCATCTGGACAAGGACAGGAAAAAGGCAAGCCAGACAGATGAGATGTTTTGTGGACCGGAGTGGCAGAGTTGAGTGTCATCATGTCTGAAAACAGCATTAGTTTGTTGGCACTGACCAGACTGGTCAAAGGATGCTGTAGTAGAGAAAGAGGAAGTGGAGAGGAGCATTGAGAAACCAGAGGGACGACAAGTCAGAGTCACGTGGAGAAACTAGTGGGACTACTCATTTCAAGTTGCAAATGCAAACGACTCCGGATTCATTTCCACACAGAGCTTCAGGGACACACAGATTATATAAGAGAGGCTAAGGAGGCAGATAAGCCAGTGGAGTGAGCAGGGTGAGGGAAGGCACAAAACTTCCAGTCTAGCTTGGATTCCCATTACCCACACGTGGCTGTAATCAACACCCTCATGTTATATCAACTGATCAGATTCGGTTTTGTTGATAAGAATTTAGGCTAAGCTAGTTCTTCAGTTTGTGTCTTTACTGTTTGCTCTCGCCTTTGTGCTCTATAGTGAACCTGTTTCCCCGGGGAATTGTTCAGACAATGCATGGCCAGTTGCACCAAGATAGCACCCGTTTGAAATGCAGCTTCTTTCCGACGTCCCTTGCTGCCCTATGGTTCTTGGTTTATTTTAGTCCTAGCCAGTCAGTTTTACTGAGGGAAGGCACGGTGACAAGAAAGAGTGCTATGCCCTCCTTGTGGTGGCATCAGGAGGGCAAGTTAACAGGTTGCATACTACAGTGTCCTTCTTTTCTGGTGTTGCAGGAAGGAGAACTGTAAGTGATGTATTCAGTGACCACGAAAGAGAAGGGAGACTCATCTGGAAGCTTTCTAGAGGATAGCTCGTCGCCCTGAGGTTAGCAGAAGTGTTACAGACTGCACAGTATTTGCATAAGCAGCTGAACTCGGTAGAAACATGGCATCAGTGGTGGGGTTATAGGGCAGATGGGGGTGGGGTGGGGATGGAATCTAGCGCTCTTTGTGGTTACCTAACTGCAAACGCTTCAAGCCCCCTCCCGGCCAGTGCTCCGCACCTGCATCTTTCTCTTCACAGTGTCAAAGGGAAAGGAAAGAGTCTGGCTCACAGCAGCAGCCACGCAGACATTGGCAAAGTTCTGCAGGTGAGAGAAGCGGTCCCGGGGTCCATTCCAGATTTTCTCCAGGTTCATGTAAACTAGAAGGGAGCCAGCAGAGAAGGGAACAGCACCTGGGAATCAAGTACAAGGAGACATTGCTGTCTGGGGGGAACCACTGTCTGCAGCAAAGGAATGCCTATGGGGGATAGACAAGGGGAATAGCATGGGGTCTGGGGATATTTAAAGCCCTCCCAGCTAAAGAGCAAGAGGGCATGTTCTGGGGGTGGGGTGACAACACCATTTGGTCAAGATGCCTGAACTGGTTCACTCAAGGTTGGTGCAGTTTACTGTAAACACATAGTACATAAAAGACCTATAAGCAAATCATGAGAGCTGGGTGTGGTGACACACACCTATAATCCTAGCACCTAGGAGGTGGAGGCAGGAGGATCAGTAGTTCAAGTCCATCCTCACCTACATAGCAATGTTTATGCCAGCCTGGACTACTTGACCGCATGAGACACTGCTTCAGGCAGAAGGAAAAACAACCAAACCTAGATGCTGAACTTGAGTTTGTGATACAGATGTTGAACAGCTTAGGAATGAAGTGCACTGGTGTTTACATTGAAATCACCAAAGGAGCCAGGTGGTGGCGCCCGCCTTTAATCCTAGCACTCAGAAGGCAGTGGCAGGCAAATCTCGGTGAGTTCAAGGCCAGCTTGATCTACAGAGAGAGTTCCAGGACAGCCAAGGTCACACAGTGAAACCTTGTCTTGGAAAAAAAAAAATCACCAAAGAAAAAGATGGAGCAATGGATGGCTCTGAGGGATGCATAAACATGTGACAAAGTGGAAAGTAGGAACTGGGGTCTTCAGTGAGTATATAATGAGTTACAATTTTTAGAACTTTTCTGTGTGTTTGAAATACAAAAAAAAAAGGAGAAAAGAATGAAAAGAAACATTGGGGAGGAAGACATTGGGGGAGCAGGGAGTCATTTCCATGGTACTGAAGAGATGGCTCATCAGTTAAGAGCACCTACTGTTCACGCAGAGGATCGCCTACATCAGGTGGCTCACAAGCACCTGTAACTCCAGCTCTAGGGAATGTGACACAGTCTTCTAGCCTCCACAGGCACTGATACTTGTGCACACACCTACACCTACACACACACACACACACACACACACACACACACAGAGTTACAAAGAAAATAAAACTCTTTAAAAAATCACTTACATAAAGGAAGTTAGTAGGCAGCACTTGATCCGGTTTTGGAGGCTAGAAAGGGAGTGTTCTCTAGTGCAGAAGGAAGCATTCTGTGATAACTGTAGCCATGGATGTTACCTGACCTCACCTGGATGTCTTAGGGTTGGTTAGCATCATACACTGTGGCACTCACCTTCCTAGTAACTAAGATAATGAGCAAATATCACACTATTTAGTACTCTCACAAACTTCCAGAACTTTCGGAGCCATCCCCAGTTTACAGATGGACTAATTTGTCCCTCAAACGTGAGATTTGGGCTAGAGAGATGCCTCAGTGGTTCAAAGCACTAGCCATTCTTCCAGAACATTCAGGTTCAATTCCCAGCACCACACTGTGGCTCAGGAACATTTGTAACTCCAGTTTCAGAGGATCTGACACCTTTTTCAGGCCTCCATGGATACTGCACACATGTGATACACAGACATGCATACAGGCAAAACACCCCTACACTTAAAGTAAAAAGTAAAAATACAAAGAGATCTACTAGGTCGGATACGGCTGCGGATATAGCTCAGTAGTAGAGTACTTGCAAAGCTCTAAGTTCCATCCCTAGCACTGCAAAAAAGGGGGGCAGAATACAAGTGGAATATTATTTATCTTTAGGCATTGGTATGATTTAATAAACACATATTATAAATATATTAAAAAGGACTCACCATTTTTCTATTTTTATTCAAAAACGTTTGGGGGAAGCTGGGAGTGGTAACACACGCCTGTAATCCTAGCACTAGAGAGGCTGAGACAAGAAGAACAGGAGTTAAAGGCCAGCCTTGCCTACATAGTGAGCTCAAGCCTAGCCTGCACTACATTAGACCCTGTCTCGAAATAGGAATTGAGGGATCTTTTGCTGTGTGTGGGGCCCTATGCCAGGTACTGAGATTACAACTCAGAGCAAGCTAATTTCTGGAGATATTTACCATCAAGTACAGGAGATAGCTATGGAGAATTACATATGACATCCTTGATATGTACCTACAGTGGGCTATACAAGATGCTCTATGCACACAAGTATCAGAGTGATTAATTTTGCCCAGAAGAACCGAGAAAGAATTGACAGAAAAGAGAATTATCTCTGTCTCTCTGTGTTGTGTTAGAGATGGAATATATAGTCCCAACCCCACTCTACCCACCACCTTTCTAATTCTTTGACATGGGTCTCAGTAAATTGCCTAGGCTTATTTGAACTCTGTAGCCCAGGTGGGCCTTGAACTTTCACTTCTGCCTCCACCTCCTGAAGCTAACGGGGAAGGGGAGGAGAGAGGGATTACAGACCCAGCATGTCTCTAGTTGTTTGAGATAGGAACATTATGTATCCAAGAGTAGCCTGGAACTCATGATTCTCCTGCTGTAACCTCTAGAGTACTGGGATTGCATCATATGCGTGTATCACAACACTTGGTTTAGAACAGAGAACTTTTGAAGTGGGTCTTGAGCAAAGAGTAGATCCATCAGACACCGGGAGAGTGGGAAAGCAAGTCCAGGCAAAGGCTGAGCATACTACCATGTACGAAGAGTGTGATTCTCTAGGAAGCACACGGATTACTATATGACTTGAACATGAGAGCAGGTAGAGGCATGCTACAGGAGAGGATTGAGGTAGGGCAGACTGGCAGAGGCCAGCCCTGAAGGATCTAGCATGCCATAGGAATTTTGGCTTTCCCCCTTAGCTTTTAAGGATTGCAGTGGAATGAGGGCAGAACATTTGGAAAGATCACCCCCATCTGGCAGCAGTACACAGGGCAAACCGGGCATAGGCCCACAGATAGGAACAGAAGATTCTGACTCTGTAGAGTCAGTAGGAAAGACGACAGGGGCTTGAGCTAAGGCAGAAGAGCTGGCTTGACGAGGGAACAGGCTGTGCATTCAAAGAGGTCAAAGTGACAAAGCTTAGTGACTGAAGGGGAAACAGTGAGAAGAGGAACCAAAGTGGTTCCTGAGTTTCTGCAAGCTTGGGCCGCTGGGAGAAAGGAAGGCAGTCTTACTTACTAGGGGATATGTAAAGAAGAGTAAGTTGGAGACGAATGAGCATTTCAGATTTTGCAACTAGGGAACATAGAAGCCAACACATCCAATAGAGGCATGGTTCCATTAGGAACTGGCGTAAGTCAGTAGCTAAGGGAGAGGGGTCCAGAATCATAGTGTCAGGGTATCCCACTGCTTGTGTGACCTTGGGTCAGTCATGCAGCTTCCGATATGCACCTACTTCCTCATCTGTAGAATGAAGAGGTTGTTCAACAGGCCAAAAGTTAGACAGCCCTGGTAAGGTGGCACACATCTGTAATTCTAGCACTCAGGAAGCTGAGGCAGGAGGATCAAGCAGCCTGGACTACATAGCAAGTTCCAGGCCAGTCTAGGTTACTTAGTGAGACTTTGTCTCAAAAATGAAACAAACAGTGAAATGTTAGATATGAAGACTAAGCTGTGGGGTTCTATTGCTCAACATGGTGGCTATAGTTAATAACAATGTATTGCACATTTCAGATTCTTGATAGGAGAATGGGGGAACTCACAATAGAGGAACAATAAATTTTTGAGGTGATGGATATGCGAAGTGCTCTGATTTGATCATCATTGAATATATACATGTATCAAAATATCAAATGATGGCCCATAAATATGTACAAGTATATATCAATTAAAAATAAAGAGAGCTTGAGAGATGGCTCAGCAGTTATTATGCTGTGTTCTTGCAGATGAGTTTGGTTCTCAGCACCCATGTGAGAACATCCATCCAATGTCCTCTTCTGGACTTGATGGGGACCCACATTTCTGAGCACATAACTCTGCATACAGATATAGATATATACATATGATTAATAAATAATAAAAACAAACTTTTGTGGGGGGAGGGAGAGTCTTCAAGAGTGTGGTCCTGGTAGGTTGATCATGATTCTGTGGAGATATATATATATAGCACAGAATGGACTGGGTAGGTTATTAACAAAGAAGACATGAAGCATGAAGTTGAGGGGGTAGATCTTGGAGGAGTTATGGGAGGAGTTGGATTATGATCAAATACATTATGTGCAATTCTCAAAGACTTAATAAAAATATTAAGTTAAAACCTAAGAATAAAAATAAAAAATTTTGAATGAGAAATTGTAGACAAAGCTTCTAGAAAAGTACTTAGTACCCAGTAAGTACCCCTAAAAATGTTAGCATTATTATTAAAGATATTAGGAGTCAAAATATACTCATGATTGTTGAAGCTACTAGCTTAGGATAGAGAAATCTAGAGGGGATGCAGGGTAAGAAAACCAGTGTAGAAGGCTGGATATGGTGATATGTGCTTGTAATCTTAGTACTCAGGAGGCAGAGGTAGGAGGATCACTGCAGGTTTGAGTCTATCCTGGTCTACATAGTAAGTTCCAGGCCAGCCAGGGCTACAGAGTGAGACCCTTTGTCTAACAAACAAACAAATAAACATAAACACCAACAAAAAACAAAGCCAATGAGGGTAAAAATAAAGCTGAGGGAGGAGCCTGGGGACCAAACACAAGCACTGGCAGTGTCAGATGACCCAAATTGGCCAGATAGGTCGGATAAGAAAGATGTGAAGATACTGAGGAGACAGTGGCACCCTAGAGACCAAGTTGCCAGAGGACAGGGTGACTAATCTCATCTAGTACTGCATAGATGGACTGAATCCTTCTGAATTTGGCAAACAGAGGCTCTGTGTATGTGTAGCTCTGTCCAAGGCTATACCTATCACTGCGATCCTGTTGTGCCTACTGGTGGAGATACACACTGAAGACTCCTGTCCACTGGGCAGTTTTTAGGGTAGATTTGAAGCCAGGCTTTTCTGAGTCACTTGCATTGTTTGACCTACAATCTTGAGGCCTCTGAAATTGATTTAAATGCTCATGAAGGTATATAATACCTTCACATGTGTCAAGAAGAGATCAAATTCCACCTTACCTAAAACAGTGAGGGACACCCCTCGATAAAGGGCCAGGAACCCTTCTTGTTGATAAATAGTAGAAAAAGCATGGATAAGACCCCTATAAGATGGTTCCAGCATGTTCTGCACAATCAGCCGGGTTTTGATGAGGTCTGTAGGGTATGTGACAATCATAGAAACCATGCCTGCAAGACTTCCAGCCACAATGGCGCTCCACTGGGAAATACGGCCCAGGTCATCCATGAACAGCACAACGAACCTGCAGGGGGAAACAGAGAAAGCTCAAGATATGAGCTTTGGACTATGCTGGCATGCTCTACACCACTTCAAATGTTTCTGCGCGTTTGGAAGTGCTTTACAATGTGAAAAACACCATAGAATTATACTGGGATTACTGAGTAGTAAATTTGAATTCCACTATCCTCATATAATGCTAGCTAGTTATAAGGAAGAGCTGTCCAGCTTCTGATTGATATCTTCCCCAAATTCTTCCCACTTCATTGTCAGCATTTTCTCCTTTTATCTGCGTAACCATCTAACTTGCTGGTGGCAATTGCTACACTGGAATGCATACTTTCCATACTCTTGAAATTTAAAGGGAATAGAAATTCCTGAAATAACGGCAAAATCCAGAAATTTTCACTCTCCTCTAGCACTGGGAATGAAATCCAACTGTCTTCTACACATTAGGCATACACTTCTGTTACTGAGGTACATGCCAAGACCAGCATTCCAGAAATTGAGTTCTGAGCCCAGCAGTCCAAGCCAATATCAACTTTAATCATAGCCATGGGGCTTTGGCTTCCTGCAGAAGGCCCTACATCCAGCTAGCTGATTAGGCTATAAGGATTACTAGCTAACCTACAACGAGGTGACTGACTGGATGACAAGGCTGCCACCAATTTAGTTGTTTCAATGCCTTGTTCCCACCCCCCAGAAATGCTGTCTGACAGTCATGTGCTGGTTGGACTTCTTGGAAACTCTTTGGTTCTGGGAGATGTCTGATTGGAGAATTGGGTTTGGTTTGGTTTTGCTCAAATAAGCTCTGCTAAACTTAGTATAAAGAATTAGTTTCCTTTATAATGATAATTATAAGTGAAGCTGCGGTTTTACTAGTTATCAGAAAAATGACGTAAAAACAGTGACAAGATATCCACTTCTCATCCAGCAGACTGGCATCATGTCAAATGATGGAGAGAATGTGTGGAAACTGACACCTCACCCTTTGCTGGAAGGAATGTAAAATTGGCAGGGTCACTTTGCAGTATCTAGCAAATTTGGAGAAACATATTTTCTACCCTGTAATTCCATTTTCCAGTTCATAGCCTAGAAGAACTCTTACAGATCTACATGTGAAGACACACTACAAACATTTCTTTTAAGAATGAAAAGCTCCAACAATTAAAAGTGAAAATGTAGGAGAATGGAAAAAATGATGGCATTGTCGTTCAATGGATCCCATCTGGTTAAAATGAATGAGCTTAGACAAATCATAGAAACACACGAAAGAAGCCATAAAAGCATACTGATGAATGAACAAAACAAGGTGCACAGTGATCTGTGGTATCTGACAACTATAAACAATAAAACCCATAGGTATTGTTTGAGGTAAACAGGTACCTAGGAGGAAGTAGAAAAGTCAACCCCTGGGACAGTGGGAAGAGACTAGAATCAAGAACAAAAATGAAGAGGACTCTATCTTCATCCAGGCTTTATTATATTTAAGGGAGATACATGGGTGGCAGGTCTTGCCACATCACACAGGCCTGTAGTCATGGCTTCTCCGGAGCTTGTGGCAGAAGAAGCACTTGAGCTCAGTAATTTGAGACTGCTTGGCTAAGACTCAAACTCAAAAATGAAACAAAGGGACCGAGGATGGAGTTCAGTGGTAGCATGATTATTTAGCATGCTCAAAGCCCTGGATTTGATGCCCAGCATTACAAAAAACAAAAACAAAAGCTAACCAACCCCCCTCCATACCCCTCTCAACATCAACAAAGATATTTTGGGCTTGGTGGTATGGGCCTGCAATCCCAGCACTTGGGAAATTAAGACAGGAGAATCTTGAATTTGAGACCAATCTGAGCTACAGAACAAGTAAAAAAAAGGCCAATTTAGAATACAAAGAGAGAGATTGTCTAAAAATAGTATGTAAAGCATGGAAGGTAGGCGTATGAGTGTTTGACAAACTATTCTTTGTATTTCTCAGTAGGTTTACAATTTAGTTAAAATTACTTTGCATAGACTCTTCTAAATGCAAATCACCTGCCTCTTCAGCAAATCCTACCGGCCTGCGCCAACCACAAACAACCCTATGATAAGCCTTTTTGGGAAGGAAGCAGGGCATCCCCAATCATGAGTGCCTACCCCAGAAGAAATACTTATAAGGGTACGTCTACACAGCACACCCTTCCAGGCTACAAAAAAAGCAAGTTAATTCCTTAGCGATGAGGCTGGGAAACTAGGAAAAATAGTACTTTCTGTCATAGAATGGTACAAGGCGCATACCGAGAGCTTGGAATAAAACTAAGTGAACAAAAAAAAAAAAAAAAAAAAAAAAAAAAAAAAAAAAACAAAAAACAAAAAACTAAGTGAACAGAGTTGGGCTAAAACAATAATTTTATCTTTTTCAAAATGAAAGCATTCCCAGTTCTTTGGCTCTCAAACTTCCAGTGGAAGGGTAGGTTTCCTGTTGTTCAGATGACATCTGGCCTGATGAATAATGAGTGGCATTCAGATGAAACCATCTGAAGTTCATTCGTAACATCTCCTTCAAGGGCTTATTGGTGCATCTCAATTGGAACTCTGGCTCTGCTCCCAGCACTGAAGGGAAATGATATACAGACAATTAAAGCTGGCATTCACCAGTGGGCCACTGGCCTCTGTGTTAATGCCGGCACACTGTTTCTTTCCCCTGGCCAGTCAACTTGGAGGGACAGGAGACACACGAAATCGAAATGATGGTCTGGTTGTCTGCAGTGAGCTGGAAAAACACCTTACTTGGAGCAAAAGGCAGCACCATTCTTTCTCATTGTCCCTTTCGTAGTCCCTATCCCATGCAGCCATTCTAGGACACGGGCTAGTTTATTGCCCATTTGTTGACCATAATGCACCAGCTACTGCACTAGTTCTCAGCACAGATCACCTAGGAGAGCTCAGCAGTCCTGACAAGGAAACGACTGGTAGAGGCATTTAGAGGGAAGGAGGCCCTTGGCTTACTAAAGTACTTGAACTGGGAAGAGGAACCCTATCTCATTATGTTGGTTTGTTGTATGAAATAGTCTTAACTATCAAATGCAGAAAATGAAAAAGAAGAACTGAAGGAAGTTCTTTCTTCTAAGACTCCTAACCTCTAATCTTCCCTTAGAAGAGCAAAGTCAAGGGGCTAGAGAGATGGCTCAGTGGTTAAGAGCCCAGCTGCTCCTGCAGACGGCTGGGGTTTGGTCCCACAATGGCAGTTCACAACCGTCTGTAACTCCAGTTCCAGGGGATCTGGTACCCTAATCTGGTGCACCTATGTACATGTAGGCAAACATACACGTTTTTGAAAAGCAGAGTCAGTGTAGATAACCTTGTTAGGCTACCAATGACATCATTGTGGTCCTTATATTTTAACGCTCTGTCTGACTGGCTGGGGAGGCAGTGTTCTAGTTTTGATCTTCCTCATGTACATACAAGCATAGAAGCTTTTTTTTTTTTTTTTAAGTGAACCCGAGACCGAATGCACTGGTGATCTGCAGGAACTCCTTCCTTTCAGCTAGTGAAGTCTACACACACCCCGGATGTGTGTGATCAGTACTTACAATGCTAACCTAAGCTCATGATTGGTTATGAAATGAGGAAATGGGGGTGGCTCTGAAGAATTCACATTGCAGGGACCCAAACCAATATATATGCAGACACACAAGCAGTTGTGCAATAAAGTTGGAGGAGGACCTTTCTTTGGATGCATTTGAAAGCCACCCATTGTGTCAGCTATCATTTGCTTGTGACAGAAACACAGCACTGAACTTTCTAACCAGTAATCTCCTTTCATTGTCGATCATTTTAGCTGTGTCGTAGTGGACAGAACCCTGGACTAAGGAGCCAGAGGATGTTTTCAAGTTCCCACTCTGTCACTGTAGTTGTGGATAATTTTTCAACCACTCCATTCACTGAGTGTGCTGGATGGTTTGTTCCACCCACGATCAGACAGTGTACCGCTATTCCCTGCCACCTGTTTGCAAATTCATGGTCAGGAGAGAGTGCAAATGAGTGGGCATAATGATAAGCCATGACTACCATCTTTATGTAGGAAGGATGGCCTCACGACTGATCAACCTTTCTAACTATACCTTGTCATTCACCGGAATGCTTCCTTTCAGTTTGCAGAAAGAAAACAATCTGTCAGAAAAAATATCAGCAAGTCTAGTCTACGTAACTCTCTGCTCTTCTCTTCTCTCTCTTCTTTTGTCACCAACCCATTCCAGATCACTCTGAGCTGCTGCATGGTGTGACAGGCTCCTAGCTGCACCACCGCCCACAGCCTCTCTCCTCTTTCATCCTACCCTGCCACCACGAGACAATCATTCCCCTTGAATTTCTAATCACAGCACTGCCCCCACCCTGCGCAAACATTTCCCACAGCCACCCTCACATACCAAGTCTGATTTCCAAGATCGCATTCCAACCTGCCTTTCCAGCCGGTTGTGCCGCATGCCTTTTCTCTTTGCCTGTGTTGACATTACCTGCAGCATCTCATCTTTGCCCATGAGACTCCTACTCATTCGCCCAAGGCCAAACTAGTTTGTTCTCCTCTGTGAAGCCTTCCTGTCTTCTCATCCCTCACCTGAAGTGTATGTTTCTATAGTATCTTTAACATTTATTATTTTTTTATTTTTATGTGCATTGGTGTTTTGCCTGCATGTATATCTGTGTGAGGGTGTCAGAAGCCCTGGAACTGGAGTTATAGACAGGTGTGAGCTGCCATGTGGGTGCTGGGAACTGAACCTGTGTCCCCTGACAGAGCAGCCAGTGCTCTTAACTGCTGAGCCATCTCCCCAGCCCTCTGAAGTGTACATTTTTATAGTACTTGCTCCACTGGCAATTTATATTAATTAAATTAAATTTTATGTTTGGGGACTGAGATATACCAGTCTTCTTTTTTTTAAACTACTTTTTATTTTTGTTTTTCAAGATTAAACTACTTTATAAACTGAGGTAGGGGGACCATACTGCTTTCATTCTTGCTCTGTCTCCAGCATCATGTGCATGGTACTTACTTCTGCATCCTTACTAATGTCAATTGAGTGCAGAAAGAAAGGTGGCATGATGTACTGCAGTATGGGGTTTGGAATCAGAAGGCCAAGTAGTACTGCCACTGGCTATAGGTACCCCAATGTGAGCTTGGTTCTGTACCAGTGAAAATGGACATAGTACTTCCTGTCCTATGGACTATTCTAGGCAGGAAGCAGAAGTTGGAAAAGCTGAATGATGTACATATATAAGATAGCTAATAGAAAAGCCATGCCATTAGAATTGGGCTTTGAACATCTGTGTCCTCCTGGTTATCCTTTGTACACATTCTGTCTTATCCAAAGAAAGATTTCCCTACTGCGTTGTGGAGAAGAGAGGGAAATCGGGAGAAAGTGAATCATTAAAACTCAAGAGTGCATGCCAGATGTTGCTGGGGTAACAGAAGAAGCCAGGCAGAAGCCACAGAAGATGGCCTGGAGCACTCAAAGGTAAGGATGAGTCCATTCAGAGTGCCAAATGCCAGGCAAGCCTCCCAGCTCTGGCCTTCCAAGTAACAGCGTCAAGGTAAAACCTTTTGACCCTCTTCCAAGACTTAACTATGTGGTTAAGACTGACTAGTTCTTAGGGCTGGGAATACAGTGGCAAAACACCTCACTGGCCTGCTCTGCTCCAAGGCCTGGAGTTTCATCTCCAGCACTGGAAACAAAATGAAACAAAACAAAACAAAAAGTAGCCTGACCAGCTCCGGCCTGTAGGCTGTTTGTCTAATTCAGAGCCAAGGCCAGCCTTTAGAGCTGGCACTATGCCTATCTAATGAGGAACGCAGGGACTATCGTCCCCAATAGAGAAATAGCCCCTCCTCTAGTGATGCCATCGCTGCCTTTCTTCTCTTAGGCTTCCTTCCCAGCTCCCATGCAAAAATTCTTGAGCTCTTGTTAAGGTCACTCACATGCACCCGTCATTTGCATCTCTACATCTTTCCCTAAGTAGCAGTGCTTGATGTGGGAGAAGGTGAGAAAAGTCCACAGGATGAGATCAGTGGGTGGCTGGGGGTGGGAAAACATTAGGCTGAGGAGACAGGTCCCTGCTGAGGAAAAGGAAACTGCAGGTCCCATTGGATCCTAAAGCCAAGTTAGGCTGTGTCTGGAGCTGGGGATGGGCAGGAATCTTTCTGAGGCAAAAAAAAGACTGGTCCCTCTTCCCGTACACTGGTCTCACAGACACACCTTCAGAGCATTCTCTCCTAAGCCAGCGAAAGCAAACATTTCCAAGTTACTGGACACTGGGAATGGTCAGACCTTACCTCCTTGAGAAGCCTTTTCATTTCTTTACCCCAAATATCATTTGCCAATTCTGCCTCCTCCCCTTATTCCTCCCAAAAAGACTAAAGATTTCACAAAACTACAACTCGCAGGGCGTGAATCTCAAAAGCATGTGTAAAACTGGTACCTTGCTTTAAGGGCCACACATACGGCCTTGTGGCCCCAAGAAACCCCCTCCCCACCTCCCACTCCCCCCCACCCCCCGCCGCGTTATCCGGAAAGAAGGGAGGCCGGGACTTCTTAGGATTCCCAGTGCTGGTACATCAGGGTGGTGGCTCCGCCACCCCAGTCCGACCTCCCGACCTCTCCCTCTGGACTCTTACTTTCGGTAGGCGGCCAGCTGCACCATGCTGCAGGGGAAGAGGCGCAGGCATGCCACGCCGTTCCCCTTCCACAGGGCCCTCGGCCCCTCAGCTAGCCACACTCGGCGTCCAGTGGCCCACAGCCCCTGGGAGTGGCCTCGCACCATGCCGACCTGGGCCAGCACGGTGGCGAGCTCCAGGGGCGCGGTGAGGCTGAGGCTCAACGCCCCCGCCAGCCCTGCACACAGGAGCCGCTGGCTGCCGGTTAGCCGGCCATCCCGCCTCCACGTAGCCATCGAGCCCCAGCCCCGCGCGCGGGCCACCTCGTGGCTGGTGTCCCAGGGCTGGCGGGCCACCGGTAGAGTGGTCCGGCCAGGCCCCGCCCGGCGTGGGGCGGACTCTCGAGATGAACTAGGGAAGCCGGGCCCACGCCTGAGCTGCGCCTCCGGGCTAGGGTGGGATCGAAGGCGACTTTCTCAGGTATCTGAGGCATGCCCAGTCAGTGTGTATTTGCAATGCAATTGGCAAGACTGGGGCTTCCATTTTCTGTGGCGAATAGGCACCCTGTTCTCTCAAGGCCAAGCCAGCAACACTTGTTTCCAAGGTATTCACAGGTCCCTCTACCTTGTTGCTTCTCTGTCCCTTTTCACATTCTATCTCCGCCTCCCCGGACTGTCTTCTCTTCTATCAACCTCTTTTATTCTCAAACCCGACTAAAAGGCTGTGCAGAGTGAAGACAGGACAGACCTTGGATAACAACCACAGCTGCTACCTAGCAGACACTTGCCAAACACTCGGTGCATTCAAACCAGCTTTTTAGCAGATATGGCCTCATTTGCAGAGGCTGTGGGTGTGGTTAAAACGTGAACTCTGGAACCTACCTGCCTTAGAATCCTTGGCCCTGCAGATGACCGGTCATATGACATAGGGATGCCTCAGTTGCTTCACCTGTATCATGGAGATGGAACTTTCTAGGAGTTGCTGTGAGGATTACATGAACACTGATTGGGACAGGTAACCAGTCTGTCTGTGTTGCTTCTATGAGGTCGTGATTAGATATTACCTTATAGAAGAGGAAACTAAGACACGGAGACGCTCACTCAAGGCTGAGTGTCCACTGCAAGGCAGAAGCAGGGTTCATATGCAGGTCGATTTTAGGCCTGCATCTACTAAGGGTCACATACAAGGGCTGCATAGTACAACCGCAGTGTGGACATTCAGTGATTGTGTTAGGTAAGGAACAGGGCAATAAAAAAGGTGCTAACTGTGGCTTGGCCAGAATCTAAGAAGGATTTTAATGAATTAAACACTTTCCACTTTTTTTCGTTTTTTAAAGGGCACAACAATAATAATTACAAGGAAAGGGACAGTTAGCAAACACACTGTTAGTGTAAGACATGCCAGGTTGCTAGTTGCCTTTAGGTCTGCATCTCATTTTCTGTATTGATTATCATGATGCTAATGGAACATTTTCCTTTTAAGTTAGGCATATTCATCCAAGTTGACACGTACTAACCGTACATATTCATGGGATAGAGTATGATGTCTGAACATGTGTCACGGGAATTTCAGGTCCTTGCCTCAGTTCACAACTAAGAAACTGGGGAGATGGTTCAGTGGGTAAAGCACTTAGGGCAGGCATGACGACCCCTAGGATCCATGTCAAAGCTGGGCACAGTGGCCTGTGTCTGTCTGAAACAGTGAACCCGGGGTTTGGTGACAGAACTTGCCTCAGAAATTGAAGTGGTGCTCTCAGAGCGATGGGGGAGAAGATAGGCAGGAAGAAACGTTAGAATGAAACCAACAACTGTGTATGTTAATTTTAAATTGAAAATAAGTAAAAGCAATATATTGAAAAATAATGAGGACAATGATCGGGGAAGACACTTGATATTGGCCTCTGGCCTCCACATGTACAAGCATGCCTAAGCTTGCTCCCCACCCTCCCTTCTTGCTCCCTCCTCACCCCTCCCTCCTTGCTCCCTCCCCACCCCTCCCCTCTTGCTCCCCACCCCTCCCCTCTTGCTCTCTCCTCACCCCTCCCTCCTTGCTCCCTCCCCACCCCTCCCCTCTTGCTCCCCACCCCTCCCCTCTTGCTCTCTCCTCACCCCTCCCTCCTTGCTCCCACCCCACCCCTCCCCTCTTGCTCCCCACCCCTCCCCTCTTGCTCCCTCCTCACCCCTCCCTCCTTGCTCCCTCCCCACCCCTCCCCTCTTGCTCCCCACCCCTCCCCTCTTGCTCTCTCCTCACTCCTCCCTCCTTGCTCCCTCCCCACCCCTCCCCTCTTGCTCCCCACCCCTCCCCTCTTGCTCCCTCCTCACCCCTCCCTCCTTGCTCCCTCCCCACCCCTCCCCTCTTGCTCCCCACCCCTCCCCTCTTGCTCTCTCCTCACCCCTCCCTCCTTGCTCCCTCCCCACCCCTCCCCTCTTGCTCCCCACCCCTCCCCTCTTGCTCCCTCCTCACTCCTCCCTCCTTGCTCCCTCCCCACCCCTCCCCTCTTGCTCCCCACCCCTCCCCTCTTGCTCCCTCCTCACCCCTCCCTCCTTGCTCCCTCCCCACCCCTCCCCTCTTGCTCCCCACCCCTCCCCTCTTGCTCTCTCCTCACCCCTCCCTCCTTGCTCCCTCCCCACCCCTCCCCTCTTGCTCCCCACCCCTCCCCTCTTGCTCCCCACCCCTCCCCTCTTGCTCTCTCCTCACCCCTCCCTCCTTGCTCCCTCCCCACCCCTCCCCTCTTGCTCCCCACCCCTCCCCTCTTGCTCCCTCCTCACCCCTCCCTCCTTGCTCCCTCCCCACCCCTCCCCTCTTGCTCCCCACCCCTCCCCTCTTGCTCTCTCCTCACCCCTCCCTCCTTGCTCCCTCCCCACCCCTCCCCTCTTGCTCCCCACCCCTCCCCTCTTGCTCCCCACCCCTCCCTTCTTGCTCCCCACCCCTCCCCTCTTGCTCCTCACCCCTCCCCTCTTGCTCCCCACCCCTCCCTTCTTGCTCCCCACCCCTCCCTTCCCCTCTTTGCACATATATGCACCAAAATTAGTGAAGGGTCTATTTTGCTTTGGCCGGAACTGAGCAAACAGAAACTTTGAATCCCTCTCAGCTCTGTCCACGTCAGTGTTACAACTTATAAAAGGTGAAGCGCCAGGCTGGAAATAATGCATATATAAATGTAGCAGTGAGTCCAAGTTATTAGAAGCCAGAGATAAGTCTTTTCTCGTGAGAAACCAGCTTAGCCTCTGGTACCAGGGTGGCTTAACCTCACCCCAGCATGGATTTTCCCAGGGGAAATTCTAATCCTTAGGGCCCCTGTTACATAGATACAATGTACAGCGATCAAATCAAGGCAATTAGCATATCCATCACTTTAAACATTTACAATAATTTATTGTAGATTTCAAAATAACCAAAAAGAGGATTTTTGAATGTTTCCAACACAGAGACAAAGAAACTTGCTGAAAAAAAAAAAGAAACCATTTTAAGTCTTGCAAGCTATAGGCCAAGAAAGATGAGGTCTATTTTAACCCCTCCAGTATATTTTTTTCCTATGCAGATACACAGAATATTAAAATGACTAGCAGCAAAACATGTGTTCCATGCCTTCTGCATTTTCATGGTAACATACTGACAAGCTATGCTCTTATTTTCCTCTTTCTCCTCTGTTAAGCACTGGGCATGGCAGTGCTTCCACTGGGAGCACTTATTTGCATTACGGAAGCCTGGCTCTGCTCTGAGCAGCTGGGGGAATGCTTATTTGTCTTGCCTTGTGAGTTGTTGTGGCTTGTGGGAAGGGAATTTCCTAGCTGTGGAAAGTGGCAGAATGTAGCTTTCCAAGGCTGAAGATCAGAAGACGTAGGATTGTAAAAGGGCATGAATTGGAGCTTTGGGTTGTGTGTGGTGAGGACACCTTCAGGTACCAGTTGTGCCCTAAGCACTCTGGTACCACTGGGACTGGGCCCCAAAGCTCTGTCATGAAGCATCACCATGGGACTGCAGCTGCTGCCACTTTATCCTGTTGCACAGAGAGTTGGCTCAACTGAGCAGTGTCAACTAAAAAAGAAAACCACTTTCTTTTGGTGCTATGGAGTTGAACCTGTGGCCTTGTACATTCTAGGCAAGTACTCTACCATTGAGCTACGACTTTTTCAAGTCAGCTTGTATGGGAACTTCAAACGTACCTTCTTGGAACTGTGTACTCTGCTTTTTATTTCTTTTTCTTTATGGTTCTTTTTGTCTTTAGATTTTCAAATGAGCCAGAGATGGAACCACTTTAAGTCTAGAAAGCTATAGGCCAAGAAAGATAATGAGGTCTATTTTAACCTCAGAAGCATATTTTGGTATATTTTTTTTCCCTGCAGTTAACACTGAACAGTAAAGTGACTAGCAGCAAAGTGAGTGTTTGATGCCTTCTGTGTTTTCAAGATAATGTGCTCACAAGATGTGCTCATATTTTTCTGTGTTAGAGTCTTGCTGGGCATGTGATGCATGTCAGTCTTTTTTTTTTTTTTTTTAATCATGTCCTGGGCATGGAGCCCAGGGTCTCACACATGCTAAGCAAACAGATTGTGACGTGTAGACTCTAACTTTACTTGTTCTTTTTTTATATACCTATTTTTTTAAAAAAAAACCTCTACAACGATCCTTGAGACCTCCAGCCTCGGGAAGTGTATAGCATGTGAAATTGAGATATGATGCTAAAAGCAAACATATAACTAAAAAGAGAAGCAGTCAGTAAAGAGTTGTAGAAGTACTATTGTGGCAGGAAGTAGATGGGTAGCCTCCTGTCACCTCAGTCACTCCAACTGTCACCTTTCAGTTTCTCTTCTCACTAAAGAGATCCTTCTCAGCACATTCCCTTAGCTGCACTCGCTAGTAGCTTCTTAGATGATTGTTTATCTGGCTCTAGTTAATTCCTGTTCTATTTTTCCTTTCACGCTTTACTCTTGTGGAATTTTATTTTATAAATTGCAAAAGCAGTATAGAGCTGTTGTCCCAAGACAAATGAAACAGAGGTATATCAGGGACACTGAAGTTCTCTGGTCTATGCTCTCAGGTAACCACAGTTAAGAGATGTGTGTGCGTGCGTGCGTGCATGCTTGCATATGTGCTTGTGTGGGTGTCTGTCTGTCTGTCTGTCTGTTTCTCTCTCTCTCTCTCTCTCTCCCTGTATTTCTTGCTTTTTCTGTGCTCAGACATTCATTTGTGTGGAGTTGTTTTCTTTGCTATCCCCTTCCCTCTTTCCATCCTGCCCTTTTCTCTGATCCCTTCTTTCCCTTTAAATAGACATAAAATCAGTACTCTGAAATGATTTTTTTAAAACCATCTTTTTATAATCAGGTTGTCTGTGGAGAGGGAAACATGTACATTAGAGAATAATGGAATTTGAACTCTCTGTCCTTTTATACTGTTTGCATTTTCTCCTTTCCTAGAACCACAGGCATGAATTACAAAAAAAAAAAATTTCTCTCCACCAGTTTTCTTTGAAGCATCCCATCAAATGCAATGTTTTCTGTAACACTATCTTGCCCTTGGTGAGCTGATTAATTTTTAACTAGGGATGAGGGGTGGGCAATGGAGGGTAGGGGATAGGGGATGAGAGCACAAAGGAATGGGATGGTTGAATTGGAGCAGGGATGGAGGGGGAAAGCAATGAAAGAGATGGCATGATAGAGAGAGATATCATGGAGATAGAGAAGAAGTCTAGTGCTAGGGAAGTTGCCAGGAATCCCCAAGGATGATCCCAGCCTGGGCTACTAGCCATAGTGGAGAGGGTGCCTGAATTGAACTGGCTTGCCCCAGTAATCAGATCAGTGAATACCCTAACTGTCATCACAGAGCTTTTCTCCAATTACTGATGGAAGCAGATGCAGAGATCCACAGCTAATCACCAGGCAGAGCTCCAGGTGTACAGTCAAAGAGAGAGAAGAGGGATTCTGTGAGCAAGTGCATCAGGATCATGATGGGGAAACCTGCAGAGATGACCAAACCAAACTAGTGGGAACTCATGAAAGTTGGATCAATGGCTGTGGAGCCTACGTGGACTAGGCCCTTCGCATGGCGAGACAGTTGTGTAGCTTGATCTGCTTGGGAGGTTCCCTGGCGGTAGGATCAGAATTCATCTCTGGTTCATGAGCAGGCTTTGTGGAGCCCACTACCTATGATGGGACACCTTGTGCAGCCTTGAGGCAGGGGGAAGGACTTGGATTTGCCTCTACTGAATGTGCCTCCACATGGGAGGCCTTGCCTTCTTGTGGGAGGGAGTGGGGGATAGGTTGGGAGGGGAGGCTCGGGGGGGCGGGGCAGGAGGAGGGAAGGGGGATCTTTGATTGGTGTGTAAAATGAAGGAAAAAATTTTCTTAATTAAAAAAAGAGAAAAAAATTCTCAATGAAGTTCTAAATGAAACAAGATACAATCTTTCATAAGCATATGTGCTAGTTAGTTTTATCAGATTGACATGATTTAGGATCTCCTAGAAAAAGAATCTCGAATAGAATTGTCTAGACTAGGTTGGTCTGTGGACATGCCTGTGAGGGATTTTAATTGGTTTAATTGAAGTGAGAAGACAAACTTTTTTCATGGGAGAATGAACTGAATGAGTGGGAGAGAGTGAGCTGAGCGCTGCATGTGCTCTTCACTCTTTGGTCCTGATTATGTATTTGATGTGACCAATCAGCTCCCTGAGCTTCTGTTTCTGTGACTTTCTACCTGTGGTGGACTGGAACCTGGAGCTGTGAGCCCAACG